CAACCCATGAAAGAAAAGGCCTGAGAGATTTCATAGGCTTAAACAACCACTGAAAGCTTATGCAAATGAAAGGAGGAAGGTTGCAGCCCCACTGAGCAAGCAGAAGAACTTGACAGCTTTGGCCACAAAGCTTTATCCAGTTCTGGCTTTTCAAGGAAGATACAGCAAAGGGGCTGTGGATCCTCCCTCTGTGGTTAAAGAAAGCTACAGAGGCCAGGTGTGAGACAGGGCTGTCCCTGTGTGGAGACCGGTAGAGATGGTTGTGTGGAGCTGTAAAGGCAATGTCTGGACTCCAAGATGCTGGAGATGCCAGAGCTGTGGAATACCTGCCAAGCAGAGCTGCTAACAGAGTGGAAGCAGCCCAAGAGAGAGAAGTGTGATGTCGACAATGAGTCTGGAAGGGGTTGGAAATCTGAAGGGCATTTTGACATCATATGTGAAGAGGCAGAGTTTGGAGTTTGCCCAGGTGGGTTTCAGTCTTGCTGTGGTCCAGTATTTCCTCACAATGTCCCCCTTTCCTCCCTTTTGAAATGATAATGTATATTCTGTGCCTTTGTATGTTGGAAGTATGTAATTTACCTTTTTGATTTTTTTTTTTTGGTTTTTCGAGACAGGGTTTCTCTGTGTAGCTTTGCGCCTTTCCTGGGACTCACTTGGTAGCCCAGGCTGGCCTCGAACTCACAGAGATCCGCCTGGCTCTGCCTCCTGAGTGCTGGGATTAAAGGCGTGCGCCACCACCGCCCGGCACCTTTTTGATTTTATAGGAGGTTACAGATAAGAGATTGCCTGGAGTCTCAGAAGAGACTTTGGACTTTAAAACATTGTTGAGACTGAAAGACTCAACAATGTGGACTTTTGAACTTGGACTAAATGCATTTTGCATTATGATATGACTGTACGCCTGTGGGGGAGCAGAATGTGGTGGTTTGAATGAGCTTGGCCCCATAGGCTCATATGTTTGAGTGCTTGGTCCACAGTTATAGGAATTGTTTGGGAAGGATTATGAGGTGTGGCCTTGTTGGAGGAGCTATGTCACTGGGGTGGGCTTTGAGGTTTCAAAAGCCTGGGCCAGGCCCAGTCTCTCTACCTTCTACTTACTGATTAGGATGTAGCTCTCAGCTACTTCTCCAGCACCACATCTGCCTCCTTGCTCCCAGCCATGATGATAATGGACTAATCCCCTGTAATTGGGAGTTATAAGAAGCCCCCCCCAATTAAATGCTTTCTTTCTTTTTATTGATTGCCTTGGTCATGGTGTCTCTTCACAGCAATAGAACCTAACTAAGATGGTGTACACACAACACACAAATCACATCCCATTGGTTCTATTCTTTTTGAGAACCCTGAGTCATACATCCTGCTTACAGGAGACAATCTGAATGTCTGAATTTGCAGTTTTCTTTGTAGAGTGTTACTGATCTGCAGCTGGAAAGTGCTTCTTCATCCTCAAAACCTGGGGTAGGCAGTGGAACCCAGGACCTCACAAATGTCTAGCCAAGTGCTCTGCTACCCACTCCTGCAGATGGAAGTTTTAAATTAGGTCCTTGAGCTTTCATTTGAGAAGCTGTGTATATTAGTCAGTGTTCTCTAGAGAAACAAAACTTATAGAATGACTCTCTCTCTCTCTCTCTCTCTCTCTCTCTCTCTATCTATCTATATATATATATATATATATATATGTATATATATATATATAGAAAGGGCATTTATTAGAATGACTCATAGGCTATGGTCCTGCTAATCCAACATTGGCTGCCTATGAACAGAAGGTCCAAGAGTCTAGTACTTGAGTCAGTCCATGAGTCTGGATGTCTCAGCTGGTCTTCAGTATATGATGGAATCCTGAAGATGTAGGCTCTAATGCCAGTGAAGGAATGGGCTTGTCAGCAAGAGTGAGAGCAAGTAGGCAAAAAGAGAAAGCTCCCTTCTTCCACCTCCTTTTATAGGTTTCCAGCAGAAAGTGTGACCTAGATTAGAGGTAGATCTTCCTACCTCAAAAGACTTGGATTAAAGATGTGTCTTCCCACTTCAAAGATCAGGATTAGAAGTGGATCTTCCCACTTCAAATTAAGCAGAAGTCCTTCCCAGGTATGCCTCTCCATTTTTGAGTTTTGGTTAATTCCAGATATAGTCAAGTTGACAACCAAGAGTAGTCATCACACTGTGAGATACATGTTTTCACTGTTGGCTCATCCTCTTTGGTGCCTCCATTTCAGGGCACAAATGATTGCTGTAGGAGAGGGAGAGAAGGCAGTGGCTGCTGTCCTGAGCTTCAACTATCACACAGTCACAAGAACCAGTCTCAGACTGTCCAAGCTGAACCTCTGGGCAGAGAGAAGCCCCGGGTCAGCTTCACATAAGGTATCGGGATAGAGTAATTTCCTTCCGTGCTAGAATAATCCTGTAAGTGACCACAGCGATCAAGGTGCTTCTGTGAAGGTTCAAGGGCTGCTTAATGGAATTGGCTAATCCTTGTAATATCATTTCCATCAGACAAGTCCCCTTCACATTTCTTTGGGGCTCTTCACAGTGAGCAGACAGCTTCTCTGGAAGCTGGTAAGCACCAGGACTCTAGCTTGTGAAAAGCCTCAGTAATACTGGAAATGCCAATTAAGACCAGGATGGGTTACCACCCCCCCCCCCGTGCCCCTACACACATACAGTACAGTGGCTATGACTGCCCAGTGCCAGGCCTCAGAAGTGGCACTCAGGGATGTTCTGGGATGTGGAGACATGGAGTTGATAAGCATCGCTATGATGCTTCATTTAAAAAAATGAAAATAAAAAAAACACAGGGTTTCTCTCTGTCTGTTTTTGATCTTGCTATATAGCCCTACTTGGTCTTGTACCAGCCAATCTCCTGCCTCAGTTTCCCAAATGCTGGAGAGGGGGTGCTGCAGATCTGACCCAGGGCCTTCTACATGCTAGACCATTGCCAGTTACTGAGCTACATCCCGGCCCCAGAGAATAATAAAGTGTCATTTTAAACCGACGGAAGGCTTAAAAAGTTTGATAAAAGTTGTTTCATATGTCTCAAAAGCTTGGCTATGTCTGTGTTTCTGTGCCCCTCCTGTGTAGTATGGGATTCCTTCAGTCTTGGTGACAGTCTAAAGGTGAACAGGGGAGAAAGCATGTCATTCCGTGGTCTCTCTTGTGACACTGGGTTGGCAGGAGTCATACCAGGTTTTGAGTCCAAAGACCTGGCCCATTGCCTTTTGATGGATAATATTGAGCATGACACTGTGCACTTCCAAGCCTTGTGGCCCTGGTGGACATGTATGGACCAATAGCCCCTCTGAGCGCTCAGGAGCTGATGCTGGGACAGAAGACTTTAATTGGTAAATGGTAAACGTGCCACCTCATTTCTACCTGTATAGTCAGCTCTTCATTTATAGGTTCCCATCTGTGGATTCAACGACTCATAGAACATATGCCTTAAGACATTGCTGGTGTCAGCAAGCATGAAAGCCCACTTTCCCTGGTCATTATCCCTGCCAGCCCCAATGGTACAGTTTAACAACTATTCACACATCAGGCACTGTGTGTCATCTACAGATGGCCGAGCCTTGAGGGAGGGTCTGTGCGATTTCTATGCCCATGTGCCATTTTCTACAAAACACTGGAGAGTCTCAGTTCCTGGCATGGCAGTGCTGCTCTAGGACCTATTCCCCTAAGCACAGTTTACACTCAGGCTTGTGTAACTAGGACTGGATCTTCATACACCATGCTTCACTGTGCTCATCTTTGTTCCGAACTCTGCCCGTTGAATGGCAGAGAATCAAGTCCAGGCGATTCCTCACACCTTTCCAGTGTCCCCTCCAAACAGGACCTCACTTCTTTCTTCCTGCAGTCTGCTTGAAGAGCAGAGGCTTCCATGCCGGAACTGCCGCACACTGGCGGCTCCTCCATGTTTGTCCCATCGTCGCTTCTGGGCTCACATTCCCGGCCATGCTGGCCACAGGAGCTGAGCTGGCGGCCTTTTCCTACTTGGGCTCTGCCTGTGACCCAGTTGGCACCAACTAACCCTCCCCACCCCCCCAACCATGAAGTCACGTTGTGACTTGTAGGTTTCCTTCTTCCCGTTTGTCTGTTCTGCTTCGGGACTCAGGCCACTTTTGGGGTGCCGTCTTCTCAGAGGACTTCAGGGGAGCTGCTGCTAGCTGAGCCCCTGGTACCCTGCACACAGAAAGCCTCAGGAGCACTAACCATGTAGTAGTCCCACCCTGGTGACATCTTACAAGATGACCGGGGGATGCCCATGCTGGAGACTGCCTTTTGTATAGCACCTTCTGACTGCTTCACTGATAAGACTCCTCAGACGTCTCTGCTCGCCCTAGCAAAGGCTCAGGAGGTCTCCCGGAGAAGTCAGAAGCGGAGAGCAGCATTTGAATCTCATTTTCCTCAAAGCACCAGTTAACCAGAGGGTCTTGACCGCTGGTTCAAAAACCAAGCAGTGTAGGCATGCGCTTCTGCGTTCCGGAAGCAATACCTGAAGTTGCCACACGATGGCAGCCTCGCACAAACCAAGGCAGCCCGGGCATGCTCTGGGGCTCTCACCCACTTCTTACAAAATCGCAGGAGACCTTCTCCACCCCTCCCCATCCCGGCACGCATACTTAATAACACCATGTAATCCCCCAGGGAAAGAAAGAGAGAGCGCCTGAGTGTCTGCGTGTGGTGCAACAGAGCGCATTTGTCTTTAGAAGGGGCTAGGGTAGGCCATCCCGTTTCCCAAATTTGAGTGATGTGACACAGTGATGAGAGAGAAAATACAGACTTCTTCTAAACAGGGCCTTAGGTGGTCGCTGCTGCTTGTCCTCCTCCTTCCTCCTCCGCCCTCCTCCGTCTCCTTTTTCCTCTTTTCTCTTTCCTCCGCTTGCTTTCTTCTTTCTCCTTCCCCGCTCCCCCTCCTCCCCCTTCTCCTCCTCCTCCTCCTCCTCCTCCTCCTCCTCCTCCTCCTCCTCCTCCTCCTCCCCTCTCTGATAAAAAGGTTAAGCATGCATCAGGAGTACAGACTTCACAGTTCTGTCATGTTGTTACTAACCTCATAAACTTGGCAATAGATAAATAAATTCCTTCTCAACCCGCCCCACCCCCAAAAGCACAGGAGGCGCCCCGTTGTGGGGCGGCTGGGAGGCGACTTGCTCCTCCATCCCTGACTTGGATGCACACAGCTGAGGGACCCTTCCTGTTCCTCATGCCGCTCCCTCCTGTTCGCTTCTCTCTTCTGCACATCGTGCACAGCCCTGGCAGCTTCCAGTGGGAAAGGGAACTGGTAAGTCAGAGAGGGTCAGCATCCCTCTGTGAGTTGGTTTAGTGTTCTTTTCTCTCTGGACCGTCAGTTTGGACACACGTATGCTTTTAGGTTGTTTATTTTTATGTTGCCTGACTTTTTTCTTCTCAGCCGTGACAGCCAAGTGTTTGAGGACAGTGTTGTCCCTCTGTACAGCAATGCTTCTCTTGCAGGACTGACTGGAAGCTGAAGGTGTATGGGTGTATATCTAGTAACTGGGGATGCCCAGGTCCCAGCGGCTTAGGACGATGCATCTGGTAACAACATGCCCAAGATCTTACCACCCCCATGTGTACCCTGTGCCTCCCGGACTCTCACTTTGAGATAAGGGTGCTTTTGCTCTATTCAAGTTCAACTCATGTGGGTCTTCTTTCCACAGGAGTTTCCCTTCATGGACCAGTTGCTAAGCTGAGGGCTGGCACAGACTCTTGGGCATGGTGGGCATGTTGCCTGCCTCCCCACCTTGAGCTTTCTGGCTAGCGCAGCATCAGCCTCTACAAGAAGCAATAAGGGGGTCTTGGAGCCCTAGCTCTACCCTTGTGTTGACAGTGAGCACTCCAACATACATGCGATCTCAAAGCATGCTGATGGTTCTGACGCCAACGGACCTGCAGAGAACAGAAGACAGAGAAAATGGTCCCTCTGCTGCTCCTCATCTGGCTGCCGTCTGTTCTGTTCCAATACTAGAGGGTCCAGATAGGGTGGTCAGCCCAGATGAGGAACCCCATGAAGCTAGGCCAGGGCTCAAAGCACAGGATCAAAGCCAGTTACAAGCGGGGGTAGATAGGAACGCTTGGATCCTGTCAAATCTGGTGGTCTTCTCGGCATGCATCCTTTAAGGACATGCCCTTTGGTGGGTGGGCTGGGCATAGCCTGGTAAGTTTTCCAGCCAGAGTTCCTGGTGACAGCTGTGTGGAGGGTCAGAGCTGGGTATCCCAGGCTGCTCTGGGACTTTGAGTAAGAACTGAGATCCTTGGGGTGGCCTCCACGTAGTGTGGTGGGGCTCTTCCTCTGCGTGTTCTTGAAGGCCCCTTCGGCTTCAGAAGCTGGTGGCTCCTGTCTTCCCATGGAGACTAGTCCCAGGCACACATCTGGACAATGACTAAACAGCATGATAAAGGTGTTTAAAAAAGGTAGGTGAGGCTGTGCTCAGCCTAGGACCACCTAGGCCTCTGTATCCGTCACTGACCCAGCATCAATCAGAGAAGGAGTGAGCTAGGATTCAGAGGTGACTAACGGGTCCAGGCCGAGAGATGCTGGAAGCCACGGAGGATACTGTGAGTCCGGCATCCGACCACATCTCAGCAAGCTTGGGCTAAAGATGCAGTGGCCAGACCGTGGCCTCACGATGGAAGAACAGAGCAGACTGTAAAAACATCAGTTAGATCGCATGTAGGGATCACAAAACACAAGGTGGAGACTAGCACAGGAACATGTCGTCTGTGCTCTGGGATGACCGGTTAGCTCGGGCTTGCCCAGCTTTGTGATCCTAGCCCAGAAGTGGGGTGCTTTTGGGTGGCGATCAGTGTTAAACCCAGTGGTTCTACATTTACTCTGAGGCAAACCTTTATTGGAGACCGGAGGCCTGGGTTTTGATTGGCAGTGGCTTCCGGAAGTGGTTGGCGTTGTAAGGGTATCGGGTAAGCTGACTTAAGAACAGGTAGAGACAGAGACTGAACACGAGAATGTAGCGCCCTGGAAAGGTGACTTGGAAATGAATCTGTGTTGGAGGTGACAAAAAAGCCTTAAGCTATCAGGAAGCCTCAGTCTCAGGGCAGTGACATCTGGGCAGGGACCTTAGTGAAGTGGTGTCTGGGAGGGTGTTTTAGCCTCCGACTTCCTCCCTCCCTTAAATCTGTGACCTCGTTCTCTCGATTAGGCTTCCCCTCTGGCTCTGCAGTTTCCAGGGCAGGTGACCTTCCTTAAAAGGTCAGGGATTTATCTCCCTCTGAGCCTTGCTCGTCTGCAAAACCTGCACTATGACAGAAGAGACCCTGGGATGCCAAGTAGTTTCGTGAGCTGAAGGAAGTTGAGCTTTGCCAGCCATGAAGCATGGGCAGCTGTGTGCACTGGGCAGTGCAGAGGACAGTGTGAGCATTACGAACGTCCAGCATCTGTGTTTTCTTCCAGGAGTGGTTCTGGATGTTTGCCCGCTACGTCCCCTGCATCTGACGATGGCATGTGGTGTCGTGGGGCGGGAGACTCGGGTCTGAACACTTTGAGGATGAAGTTCCCGGTACAGGAGAGGCTCAGGGTGTCGGGTTGGCTTGAAATAGGTGAGAAATGAGCGTGGAAGACTGATACCATCTGGGGAGGGCCAGAGAATGGAAACGGGAACCAGTAGATCCCAGATTCTAAGTCTGAGACCCTGGATCTAGCTTTTCCTGAAGCCAGAATGGTCCTTAAAGTTCATTTGTGAGAGTTAAAATTCTCTTCCTTTGGCCAGCGTTAGTTAGATTTAGCTTTATGTCACTCAGAACCAAGAGTTCAGACTGATGTATTAGTTTTCTCCAGTTTACTGTCTTTTGTAGTGTGATGGCTAACCTTGGCTGTCAGCTTGACCACACCTGGAAGGAGCTAAAACCCAAGCAGTGGTGAACCTGTGAGGGTTCTTATCCATCTATTTTTATTCTTATTTTTAAAATTGGATGATTTGAAGTGAAAAGACCTACCCTAAATCTGGGTCATTTGAGGTTTTAGAAGAACCACTGAAGTCTGGGCCACGCCTTTTTGTGGCAGCCCACATAAAAGGACATGGGGGAAGGAAGCTTTTGTTTTTTGCCTGCTTACCCCCACTCTGGCTGACGAGTTCCTCTACCCTGCTGCGGAGGCATTCCTTCGCTGGTGCTAACGTCTTCAGGATTCTGCTGTAGACCGAGGAGCAGCTGAGACATCCAGCCTCACAGACTGAACGCCCACTGGATTCTCCCATCAGGAGACAGTCATTGTCGGACTCGCCAGACTGCCGCAGCCTGTGACTTCAATAACCCCCTTTAATAGATACAGATTCAGTCTGTGAGTTCTGCTTCTTTGGAGAACCCTGACTAAGAAAGGAGAATGTTAATTTGTCCGGGCCCGAGGGCACTCTAACTGTGCCCGCTGTGGAACTATCACAACCTTTGTGGGTCTTTGGGAGCCTTTGGGAACCTTCCCCTACACAAAGATATTACAAATGACATGTTGCTACTCTGCTGGTAGGAAGTGAAATATTATCCAGGACAGACTGCCGTTTTTCCTTCACATTTTGAAACCAATCAGAACTCTTTCACGGGCCACCTGGGTGCTGTGTTTGGATCCCGTGGCCTTTGCCAACCAAGGGTTGAGCCTGCCTTTACCCCCTGGAGATCCTTCCTCCTGCATGAAGTTAGAGAAGACAACCCCTAAGCGCTGTTTCGGCCCCTCTCTCCTCTCCCTGGCTTTTCCTAAAGAGTTGCAGGCCAAGGACCCCAGAACTCTGCCAGTACAGCCAGAGCACGAGCAGCGCAGACCAGGAGGGCTTTGCAGACAAGCCGAGAGAAGCGTACAGCCTAGGTAGGAATGCATATCCCTAGGCCCTACCCTAGATGGCAGGCATCGGAGATGAGAGGGCAGTCCTGTCTGAGCTCCTGTGTGCTCTCTGGGCTTCTACCCAAGGTCGCGAGCTTTTGGAGAAAGCTTCTCTAGGAAGGTCTCGGTGCCCTGCACCACCAGGCATCTTGGGCTGGCCAGCTCCTACCCACGACCCTGAAAATCGAAGGAACTCTGTTCCAGTGGCACCTTTAGGACCCTTAGCAATACCAAGCCGTGTAGGTTTTGTGAGCAGTTTTGCTTTTTGCTTTTGCGTTTCTCACGGAGGTGGAAGCAAAGGTTGGTGGGTTTAAGACTCTGCAATAGCCGAGCAAGCCAAGCAAGGTGAGGTCCTCAAGGTTCAGAGGCACCACGATTTTCCTTAGCATGGAGCTGCACGGAGCCCCAGTGGCCACTAGATGGCGCTGCTGCACTTTCCTTCGGACGTTGCACATCGACTCTGAGACCCGGTTTAAAAAAATAACGTGCTGCTGTGAATTGAGGCCTATTTCACTAAGATAGCCAGGAAATGATATGCAGCCACGAGGCTTTGACCAGGGGAAACTGTGGGGTTGTAGCAGGAAAAGTCATGTAGAATGTTACGAATCTCCCTTCTGCACTGCAGACTCCCCGAACTCCACTCCTCTCCGCTCCACTCCACCCTGGGCCTCTAGGGGTGGCAGAGTTCTTTCTACACTAGCTGAAGTCACTAGCTTCAGTTGGGTGGAGGAGCGCTCATCAAGGTGGGGACAGGCTATGTTCTTCTAAAGGCAACTTTCTGATCTGCTCGGATGCCGACTTCTTTGTGTGTCAGCGCATTAATCCAGCCGCGACGGAGTTGATACTGGCAAGAGACCCCCTGCAAAGCCTCAAGAGAGAAAGAGCCCCATTTGGGTTCCAGAAACCTGGGTCTGGGCACGTGAGGGCGTGGGGGAAGCAGGGTGGCAGGGTCCGGCTGGAACGAAGTGGGCTTAGGCTAGTTTAGTGTCAGAGCGCAGTGTGGCCACAGGGACTGCAGGAGACCTCGGTGACAAACCCACTTCCCCAGGTGGCAGTGACCTTAGAAGCCGTGGTAGTGATCAGCATAAAGGTAGCCACCCAAACTGCCTCATTTCATCCAACCTCCCAGCGGCTAAGAGGGCTGGGGTCACAGTGTCACAGATGGGAAATAGAGGCACGGGGCGGAGGAGGAAGGGGAACTCAGGCCTGAAACACATCGAGGCAGGTTGGGGATAGAATTTCAAACCAGGCCTGATTCCAGGGCCTCTCCCTGGAGCTCACTGCCCTCAAGGATCTGGTAGTACAGGTTTCCGGGAGTCCTGGTGTCTCTATGGGGGGAGGGGGCTTCTCTAGCTGGGGGCTTTCCTGAGATTCACCTCTGTTCACTCCATCAGGGCCACAAAGGGGGCCACAAGGCCCCAGGACATGCTGTGCGTCTGGAAGCTCTACTGAATGCCCCATGGGCTCTGCAGGCCCTGGGGGATGCCTGGGGGAAGCTGTACCAGTTGACAGAAGTACAACATCGATATGAAAAGAAGGAGTTCTGCCCCCCACCCCCATGCCTAGTCCCCCAGCTCCCTGAGAGACCGGGCTGGCAGAGGAATCCTGAGAATAAGGTTCCACCTCTCAGAGCACGCCCACCTTGTTGCAGGGTGGCAAGGACAGGTGAGTGCAGGGGAAGACCCTGAACCGGCCGTGGCCAGCTAGAGGAGAAATGACCCCTAGGCACAGCTGTCAGCCATTGGTGGGTGGTCTCTTCCCGGTGAGTGTCACCAGTGTGGGGTTTCCTCTTGACATCTGCTTTGCCCTTCCCAGACCCTTGTCCTACCCTGTCTCTGCACTTCCAGACTAACATCAATAAGATTGTCGGGACCACCCCCAATGCTCAGCTCCCCACCACCCGCCCCCGCATAACCTATCCCCCAAAGTTTATATTTCTAGGTTTTTCATCATCCTCTCTTATCTTTCTTCTTCCTCACAGCTTTCTGAAGCCTGAGTTGATCTTGTAACTGGTGTGATTTTTTTTCTCTTTTCTTTTTTAAAAAATTAATTCTTTAAGAATTTTATACATTATATTTTCATATACAACCCCAATTTCCCCAAGACCCACTCCCCCTTCCCTACCCACCCAACTTTGGGTCCCCATTGTTTTTTCCAATGTAATACTTTTATTGATTTTTTTTTTTTGAGAATTTCACGTAATGCACTCTGATCACACTCACTTCCCAGTCCTCTCTGGTCTGCTCCCCTGACCCTTGTGACCCCCACAAAAAAAAGAAGAGGAGGAGGAGGAGGAGGGAGAGGAGGAGTGAGAGGAGGAGGAGGGGGAGGAGGGGGAGGAGGAGGAGGAGGAGGAGGAGGAGGAGGAGGAGGAAGAAAACAAGTCCGTGAGTTCCAGGAAAGGCGCAAAGCTACACAGAGAAACCCTGTCTTGAAAAACTAAAAAAAAAAAAAAAAAAAAAAAGAAAACAAGTCCAATTTGTGTTGCTCATATACTCACCGGAGCATGGTCACACAGCCAGTGGCCAGCCCCTTAAAGAAAACTGAGTTGTCTCCCACTAAAAGCGCCACGGAGTCCAATTTCTGTGGCCCATGTGCTCTTGGGTGTGTGGCGTCTGCTGGAGCGGTTTGTTTAGTAGTTGTATGAGAGACTGATGCCTTCCTTTGTTTGCCTTCTCCCTCCCCCACTTCCGGTTTGCCAGCTCCCCATGGTGCAGGGGCATCTAGACCCTCAGGAGGACGTGAGAAGTTTGGCAGAAGTGGTGATGAGCTTCCCCTGGATTCCAGGATGGTCCCCACCCCTACCTGATCTCACCGTGATGCAAGATAAACCTCTCCCGCCCCCCACTCTCCCCTACTCCCTCCATGGAAAGTTCTCTGTCTCTGTCCAAAGACTGGATTTGAAACAAACCTAAAAGCTTTGGAGTTAGTTACTTTAAAACTTGCAAGAGCTGAGAAGATTCGGATGCTACATGAAGCTTCCACACACCCTTCACCCAGATCGCAGAGACCCTTCCGATCACAGAGACCCCGCCCGCCTCTGCCTCTGAAATGCTGGGATTAACGGTGTGTGCTGCACACTCAGCTGTGGGGTGTGTTTCTTTCACGGTCATGTGTCACGGGGCGGGGCTCCTCATCAGTTTCCACGAATACAACCGGGTCATTTCACTGTCTTGTTTTAATTTGCCTACTTGGTCTAACAATGCGTGCCCTTTAGAGCCCCCCCCCAACCCCCCCAGGGCAGGAGAGCTGCCACATCTTGCTCCTTTAGTCTGGAATGACCAAGGTGGGGAAGCATGCCTTTGTCCCTTGTCGTCACACTGATGTGTTTGCACATAGGGTACTTCTGCCCGTCGCCCCTCTAAAAATAGAACAATCTTTATTTTGAAAAAAATGTTAAAAGGGGAGGGGCTGGTGAGATGACTTGGCGGGGTAAAAGACACTTGAGGGCTGATGTCTTGAGTTCTATTCCAGGGACCCAGAGTGGAGGGAGAAAACTGACTGCTGAAGGCTGTTCTCTGAACACACACACACACACACACACACACACACACACACACACACACACACATCAAATAAAGTCCATTTAAAACTAATATTCTTTTATGTTGGACCTGTCTGGTATGTCCCTGTGGGGACAGTGTCTACGCAGCGACGTCAGGAGGTGGCCCTCTTTCCAAGAGAACTCTGGAAAACGCTTTTCCCCTTAAGCCATGATGGAAACCCTTAATGAGCCTGCTGGCTTCTGGCAGGAAGGCTGCCTTCAGGCACCAGTGAAGCTGGCAGTTCCCACACTTCTCAGGCCCCGTTTTCCTGTCCCCGCTGCCAGGGCCACACTATAAAGTCCTCCCTGAGGGGCAGCTGGGCTGGGAACAATGTACCTTTTACCTCCATCACGGCTCAGTTGCATGGCTGTAAACACTACACAGTGTGCTCTGCCGGGCGGGGCTTCCAGGGAGCTCCCTCGCCTCAGGGCCCCCTCTCTGCACTTGGTCTGCTGAACACCATTGTCCTCCAAGAAGCCACTGCTGGCCAACAACTGGGCATCATTGGGGAGAATCTGTGGACAGTAGACCACAGAATGTGCAAAGCCCCTGGGATGGATAGAAGAGTCATATCCGATTGGTGTATTTCCTGTGTGGTCCTCGATGGTTCCAGAAAAAAGAAAAAAAAAGGCGCCTGTGTCTTTGATGCATTACAGTGTCCACAGGAAGACAGCCCAGCAGTGGACGGAGAGCCTACAGTTAAGGCCGGGGTTCAGATCTGGCTCTGTCCGGCTAGCTTGGGGGCTTTAGCTGCTCCAAGGCTCTTCTGTGATCCGTGAGAGAAGGGCCAGTATGTGCAACTTCCCGTCAGTGCGAGCACTATGTCCTCGCCTCTCGGGGCTGCCAGCATTGCCCGGGACTGGCCTACCAGGAGGCAGAGGCCTGGCTGTTCACCTGTGACCTAAGCCCACATGATATGAGCTAAGGCCAGTAGCTCTGCCCGCTTTGACCAACTGGGCAGATTTGGCGGTGTTTTAGGAGCACGGCAGGTTTGCTTTAACCAGCTGTGGTAGGCAGACACGGTGGACATGTGACTGTGAATTGTCTATCAGCAGCTGTTGCTGGCTGTGTGGGGAGGATGTGGCTGGATCTTCACCACGGTGTCTGCAGGAAGAGAAGGCAAGGTGGGCGAGCGGACTCAGGGGGCCTCCTGGAGCGATAGCCAAGGGTACTGAGGTGCTGGACTGTCCCCAATCGGACACCCAGTCCTAGGGTGACTAGGAGAAGTGAATAGTGGCCCAGGAGGATATGGATGTGGGGTACGCGTTGGTTGGTTTGTGTTGGGGGCAAGTTGTTGACTCTCTAGGGATTACCTGACGCTGTGAAGGGAAAGTCTCACTGTCAAAGCATCAGTACCGGCGAGAAATGGACGGTGTAGACACTTCCCATCCCTGACCAGGAGGAGGGCATAGGTACAGACTCCCATGGTAAGGCTGCTCTCTGGCTTCTTAGGGCCAGGGCCAGCGTTTATGGTCTTCTGGAATGTGTGTCCCACTGACCCAAAGCTGACTTCCTAAGTGACCACAGAGCAGCTGGGATTTCCCTCAGAACCCAAGAGTCTTCCAGTGTGACATGTGGCTTGACCAGCAAGACAGAGAAGGCAGATACCTGTCAGCAGCCTTCTCTGTATGTATCCCTTGGTCCATGGTTGCCAAGGGTGGATGCTGGGAGATGCTGGCCCAGGATGGGCTGTGAATGCTGGGGAGGTAAGCTGACTTGACATGACATGACATCTCTCTGGAGTCCGTGTTTTCTCTGAAGGCAGCACAGAAGAGGGAGAGGAACCGTGTGTAGAGTCTTGTAGGAAATATATGTGTTTAGCTCAGCAGGTTTAGTTGGCGTTTGGGACCATCCCAGGTCACCTGCCAGCAAGGACAGTAGAGTCAAAGACTGCAATTTGTGTGTGTGTGTGTGTGTGTGTGTGTGTGTGTGTGTGTGCGCTGGTTGGACTTCTTGAGTTCTAGCAATAAGGCTGAAGGTTAACAGGGAAGACACGCATGGTGTGTCCTTGGGGAAGGGCAGGAAGGCAGAGTCTTTCCCACGGTGGCTACTGACTAGAAGTTGTAGAAAATGCACACAGAGGCAGTTGGTTTGACATTAACGACTGGACTTGGACCAGGAAAGTGTTGAAAAGCTGGTGAAGCTGGCAGAGAGAGACTGTGCCCATGGTCCAAACAAACCCAGCCATCGCGACCATTGTGCCTCTAGGAGTACGCCTTTCTGTCCTTGTCCTCTTTCTTGTCCCCTCCCTTCCCACCTACGGTGAGGAGTCAGTGTTTTAGTGCCTGGAGACAAGATAACAGGCTGGTCAAGTCCGAGAGTCTGCCTGTGTGGAGCTTGTGAGCTCGTTCGATGGCCTCAGTGTGTGCTTATCACCGTGGATGCTTCTTTGTGGTTAGTGGCTGCTTTGTGCGTCCCAGAATGCTTCATCGCCTCTCTGTCTCTACCCACTAGACACCCTGGCACCCACTCTTCGGGTTTTTGTGTGTGTGTGTGTGTGTGTGTGTGTGTGTCTGCGTGTGTAGTATGTGTGTGTGTAGTGTATGTGTGTGTAGTATGTGTGTGTGTAGGGTGTGTGTAGTGTATGTGTGTGTCTGTGTAGTATATGTGTGTGTGTAGTATGTATAGTATGTGTGTGTGGTATGTGTGTGTGCAGTATGTGTGTATTATGTGTGTGTGTAGTGTGTGTGTGTGTGTAGTATGTGTGTGTGTATTATGTGTGTGTGTGTAGTATGTGTGTGTAGTGTGTGTGTATGTGTGTGTGTGTAGTATGTGTGTGTGTATGTGTGTGTAGTATGTGTGTGTGTATAAGTGTGTGTGTGTAGTATGTGTGTATTATGTGTGTGTGTATTATGTGTGTGTATTATGTGTGTGTGTAGTATGTGTGTGTATGTGTGTGTGTGTAGTATATGTGTGTGTATGTGTGTGTAGTATGTGTGTGTGTAGTATGTGTGTGTATAAGTGTGTGTGTGTAGTATGTATGTGTGTAGTGTGTGTGTGTAGTGTGTGTGTAGTATGTGTGTGTGTAGTATGTGTGTGTATTATGTGTGTGTGTAGTATGTGTGTGTATGTGTGTGTGTATGTGTATGTGTGTGTGTATAGTATGTGTATGTGTGTATGTGTAGTATGTGTGTGTGCTCTGGGTGCACTTGTGTGTATCCTGCTGCATGCTCTTGTGCACATGCATGGAGGCCAGAGGAGGGCATCTGGAGTTCTGATCTCCCACTCTCCGCTTTGTTCCTTTGAAGCAGGGTCTCTCCCTGACTCCGGAGTCAGGCTGGCACCTAGAAGCCCCAGTATTCCTCTTACTTCTACTCCCAACAGTGCTGCGCTTACAGGTGTGCGTGGTCCTGTCTGGCTTTTAACCTGGCTGCTGATGTTTGGACTCAGGTCCTCATGCTCGCACAATAAATGCCCTTACTTACTGGGCCACTGCTCTGGACCCCTCCAGATGTTGTAGGATGTCCCCTGAGCCTGACCAGTACCCTGCTGAAAACCACTGGGCAGTGCAGGAGGCACACAAATGAATACATGCCCACAATACTGATGACATAGATGGTCCCAGTGTCCACACAGGGGCTGCTCAGAGGTCTTGGGTGGGGGGAAGTCACAGTAGGTTGCAGGCACATCCCTGTTGTGAGAAAGTGATCGATTACATATAACTCTGGTCAGGAGACAATCACCTTCACATCATGGGGAATTAGTGTGGATTTCCACACTTGAGTGGCACTGTCCTGTGAAACTTAGGTGTCTGTGCAGAAGGAAGAAAATGAATCGACCCCAGACATTCTCTTCCAGATTTTTCTTTGCCTTGGAACAGCTGTGAAGCAGAATGAACTGGTTTGATGGTAACAGCCGGAAGTTGACCCGCTTTGTGTGTGGACTCCAGGTCTCTCAGTGTCTCTCTAGGCCCTCAAAAGGGAGGCAAGCCAGGCACAGTGGTGAAGTGTGTATGCCATCCCAGCTCTTGGGTGGTGGGGGCAAGAGGGTCAGGAGTTCGTCATCTTCAGCAACATAATGAGTTTAAGGCTAGCCTGGGCTATGTGTGCTCTTGCTCAAAGTAGGAGATGTGAAAGAAGAGTGCGTCCATGACTCTTTTTGGTGCTGGCCCTGGAAGGGGGAGGGTCAGCCTGAGCTTTTGCCCATTGTTTGGCTGTTTCTGACACTTGTGTGTGTGTCACCGGCAGAAGGGCACTCTCTGACTCAAGAACCCATCACAGGAGACCCTGTCAACACCTCCGTTTGCCCCTCCCCCTGTCCAGCTGAGATCCTTTCTCTCTGCTCAGCTCCAAGGTGTTGATGGGTGGATCAATGAGGCTGTGCTGTTTGGCCTCATCTGGGGATTCTGACAAGCTGCTGGGAGTTTAGTGCATGGCTGCACTCCAGCTCACGCTGTGGTCAGCGCATACTTCCTTCAAGTGCTACAAGCTGTGGCTGGAGAGGATTTTATCTGCTCATGTGACCGTTGAAAAAATGTCATGCCTGTTTCAAGTTCCTCAGATACCCAGGGGGTAATTACAAGTGTTGAAAAAACCCCAGAATATCAAAATGGAAACTTCGTGTCTCAAAAACATGCTTTGGCTATCATGATAATTGAAATTAGGAGACCATGCTCTTAAGAAATCGTGTTGTTTAAAAGGAAAAACTGTTCCAGGTACCCAGACTGACATTTGGGACAGTGATGGGGTTCATGATGGCCAGTGATGGACCTGCAGAGCATAGTGTCCATTTCCTCTTCATAACGCAGGCTCCAACCCTGGGGTAATTTTCCTAACTTCCTTTTTAAAATCGTGTAGGTGTGTGTAGGGGTGTGTGTGTGTGTGTGTGTGTGTGTGTGTGTGTGTGTGTGTGTGTGCAGGTATGAGTCATGGTGCAGTGTTTGTATAGTGGCCTGAAGACAACTTGTGTG